TATATGCTGTAAGAAATTCTTTTACATTTACTTGTTTTATATAAAAAAAAATATAGTCTATTAAAATTAACAGTGAAAATATTTTAAAATTGTTTTTAAAATTGTAGTTAAATAAAACGAATTTTAATCTAAACATTTTTTAAAATTGTAGTTAAATAAAACGTATTCTAACCTAAACACCTTTATCAAAGTACTACAAGCACTTAAAAGAATCCAATAAAATACCTACGGAAAAATGAAATTAATATGAAAAGTTAGAATATGTAGGTCATTAAATGACCCATGTCCTTTGTACTTACATGAGAAACTATATATTACTAAATTTATAAAAAATAAAAGTGTACTCTATCAGAGAAATGAATTAGCTATTTTTTGCCGTCATTATCATAAATTTTACTGAAATAATATTTAAATATAATTTTTTTTTAAAAAGTGACCTGGTAATTTATATACTTATACTTAATATAGAAAAAAATAATTTTACATACTGCAAGTAATTATAATACAATTACTTGTTTTAAAAAGAAATAGAGCCTATTAAAAATTAAAAGTGAAAATATTTTAAAATTGTAGTGAAATAAAACGTATTCTAACCTAAATATCCAAAAAAATCTTTAATATACAAATAGAAAAAATGCCGTAAGAATTTTTTCCGTTAACAATAAAGTTTTTAAAAAAATCCAGACGACATGCATTTAACGGATGTCAGAATTCCTTGAAAAACACATCCTTACCACTACCTAAACGTAACCCCTTTTTCAAATGTAACTAATAACTGATACAACAAAAGTTAATGAAAATGAACACGCAACCACCCCTTGTCTGGATGAATGGATTTCTTTTTATCCTTGGAAACAGTAAATTATGATTTTTTGCAGTGCCTTTAAAACCCAGTAAATTTAAAAATAAGTTACTCCAAAATTCGTTTGAGGATGAAATGGAACTAATGTCTTTAATTTAATTACAAAATTAAATTCGAAGTTTTTCCTTCCATTTTGAAACATGGTTAGAACTGTGTAGCGAAAAAAACCATATTTTAAATCAGTAAATATATATATATATATATATATATATATATATATATATATATATATATATATATATATATATATATATAAAAAACAGAAAATATATGTATAAAGTATATTATAGATATATGTATAGATACAGAGTATGGATATCAATTAAACTTCAAATTATTAAATGTCAAATTTTTAGCAGACGTTAACGTTTATTTATGAATAAAGCATGGCAACTGAACAATGTACATTGATTCTTGTAAAATCTGATAAATGATTTAATAATTTACCTTCTTTTAAAAATCCAGAGCGGATTCTTTATTGGATGAGCTATGGCACCTAAACTGAAGGAAATCCCCAGAGAAAAAGAAAAATGGCTGCTCTCATATAAATCTATAAAAATGGCGTCAGATATTCCGATTGACATTTCAAGGCTTTTTACCAAGCCAAGAAAATGTCGATAAGTGGAGTGAACAAGATATTACATCCTAGTCTGTGTATTAAACATTGGAAAAGAAATGACATTGTTATCTAGACAAACCAATAAGTTTTCAGCCAAAATATATCTTGGAACAAGACGTCTGATTACTCTTTTCATTTTCAGACTCTATTTTTAATAAATCTCTAAATATTCCATTCGTTTTTTCGAAAATGGATTATTTGGAAGAGGGATTAAAAAACTTAAATAATAAAAAATGCATTAAAATAATATATAATTGTTTATTTGATCCGTCACAAGATTACATATGCAGACCACCCAGATCGAACAGTATTAGTAATCTGATCGGCCTACCTAGAAACCACTGCTCTACAGTAGTATCTCCTAAATGCACAGACGGAAAAGAAAAGTGAAACAGCTTGAATACGTTTTAATTATTTTTTACGGTAAGGTTAATCCTGTACAAGGCCCGGTGGTCACTCGTGGTAGAGGGTTACGATAGGGATTAGTTTATATGGATAGGAGGGGAAAATAACGGTTAATTTTGGATTTGAATAGGTTAAGATTTTAGTGATCGGGGAAACATCCCCTTGGAGTCTGTTCAACAGAGTAGTAGTTTGCGGGGAAAAGCTGTTTGAGTGGAATTTACTTCTCGCCCATGGAAGACGGGGGAAATGTAGGTGATTTAATACTATGTAAGTGGCGTGGCAAGTCCTAACCGTGGAGGTTAGACCTGGCGGAACCAAGGAATTTAGTTCGTTCGAGCACTTTCCATGGTAATATCGATAGAGCAGTGAGAGACTCGCCACATCCCGCCTGTGAAAGAGAAGTCTGATTGGAAAATAATTCTTCTCCAACAAGGACTGGGAGACGCTTTTGAACTATCAAGACTGGAAAGTGAAGACTGGGCAGCTCCCACCCAAATGTAACTATCTTACTCCATTTTCGGCCTGGTCTGGCTTTTATAAAGATAGAGGACAGTATGAGGAGTCAGGTACTTACTGGAGCGGTACAGGGAGCCGATCATTTTACCTGCATCTTTAACGATCGTATATAAGAGTTCCACTTGAAGTCGGGTGTGATTTTGAGGCCTAATATCCTCTCAAGGCACAGGGCCTCCTCAAGGGGACACCTGTTCATCGTGACTGGTGGTAGTTCGGGGTCTGATCGGTGGTGATGGAATGTAACTAGTTTGGTTTTTGAGACATTGAATGTAACCACTGGGAATTTAGTCTTAGATCCAAAGAGTGGTCAGCTGTTTTAGAGGTGTACCCGTATAGCATAGTATCATCGGCATGGATGATTACAAATGATCGGAGTATATTCTTAGGCAGATCATTTATGTAAATCAGAAAGAGGGTTGGTCCGTGGAGTGACCCGGGGGATCGGAAACTGGGCGTTAATATCTACCTTCAAGAATTTACCTGTTAAGAAGGTTTTTATAATTGAGAAAAACTTCCATTGATTCCATAGCTGGAGAGCTTGTGTAGCTTTTACAGACCTAATTTTGAAGCTTTGTGCTACACTTTGTCGAGGGCCTTGAAGATATCTAATAATATGGTCCTCGAAGTGTGTGTATTGTCTAAGTCTGTGTATAATGATTGTTATAATGTCAGCAGTGGATATGGCCGATCGAAACCCATACTGCTCATCTAACAGCAGTTTGTTCCGATCTAGATGTTCGACGACCTTCTTGTTGATTAAAGCCTCAAAATGCTAACTGATGATACTGAGGAGACTAATGCTTGCAGCGGGGAGGATCGGTCGCCCGCGTTCGTGATGACCGGACATACGCTTGCCTCCTCCTACAGAGAATCGGGGATAATTTTGGGTTGATATTCTTAATGGTAATCACTGAAATTTTGTCTGTGCCAGTCGGTTTTTTTGTTGTTTTTTTTTTGTCAGGTCGATAATTCTAGCCTTTTATTGAACTGAATATATTACTGAGATTGTGCTCAGCAAGTCGTAGGAAGTTGGGGAGAGGATAGCCTTTGTCATATAACGTTGAGTTTGAGGCAGAGATTGGGGCGAAGACCTTCGCTTTGTCTGTCGAGGAAGCTATGGCATCAGACCCATTTATAATAATTGGAACAGCTGTTTTGCCTCTGTTCATAATTTGGTTGGTGATATTCCGGAATTCGCGAGATCCGCTTTTTTACTTTTCAACCAAAGCCTGGACAGCTTGCGTTTATCTGCACTTGGCGTTTCCCAGAACCCTCTTGCAGCGGACGGGTCTGAAAGAAGTACGGTCCAGACCATACCGCTCTTTGCAACACAAGTGGCACGCGGAAGAACATATACGGGAGATCAGGGTATTCAAGGTTTAACGTAAAGTTTACTCAGGTCTCACTGTAGGTGTGATAGCGGGGTAGCATATACCTCAATACTGTACTGATTTGTGTAAAGTATTTAAAATTCCTGAGGGATTGTTGGAGTCTTTTCTAATGTATTTATGATTCTAAAGTTCTTTAGTGAAAAGCTTGTATATTTCTTTGGAGAGGTCGAAGTGGCGTCCAGAAAGTTAATCACCTTAGCATTGCTGTTAGTGGTGATATTTAGGCCTTGAAAAATTTAGTAAGTTGTTTTCTAAGGCGATCTGTTTTTTGTGGGTTGGTATTACATAGGAGGATAACACCGTCATCTCTATACAGACCAGTGTCGTTGCTATCAAAATTATATCTAATTCTCCACAGTAGTAATATACCAACCAATTCACAAGCTTCCGCGGAATCAAACGCTCCCATTGCTACGGGAAGTTTGGGTTGTCTTTTTTGGTCCACATGGAATCATCGTGAAATAAGATGGTTTTCTGGGCTTGTTTGATGATGTTAATCAATAATCGGCATCTGCATATAATTTCTTGCATGTTCTGGTTAGACATTCTCCGAGGACTACTTTGAATTCAAAACTGTAAAAAAGACAACTATCCTCTATCTCTCCAAAGATTTCATTGCCCTTTAGAGATAACAAGGACAAAAAGGAGAAGGAAAACAAGGAGAAGGAAAACACCATTTCTATATATGTATATATAATTGCGTGTGTGTTTGTAACTTCCGTTCTTAATCGTATTAATAAAAAGTAACCAAATTCCTATTCTTCTCTTTATTCTGTTTTTATTCTGAATTTTCCCAGAATGGGGTTGTGGGGATCAGGACCTTATTTTTCCTGAGAGAAAAACATACGTCGATAGATCGTCAGTCCCAGTCATTATATTGCTATTTCAGTCTTGGACACTGTTGAAAAAGAAAGATTAATCTTATGTTTTATTTAATTACTCGTCTTATCACGACGATTAACCATATGCTCGTTAACATGTGTGGTCGTATCTTTTTCTGGCTTAGAGAGGGAAAAACAGAGAGATATGGATATTATAACAGGCTTAACCGAATTAAGAAATCGTTAGTTAGTGGGGTTTACGAAACTAGGTTATTTAACGCCGAATTGTTTTTATGGGGCAACCGATGAGAATCGGATATACTACGAAGTATTAATTATCAAGCAAACTATACAAATTAACTCTCGACTGAGGCGTAAGTTGATCAATGCTTATATCTATCTCATTTCCCAGTCTCTTCATATCTATCTATCTATCTATCTATCTATCTATCTATCTATCTATCTATCTATCTATCACTGGTCATTACCTGAATTAAATTTGGTGATATTTAGTTTAAAAGCTTTTTTTCGTCACATGTATTTATCAGGCCCTCCCAAAGCATTTCCGATTCTCTCATACTATAGTTTTTCAGAGATATTTTCCGACATTGCAGGAAATTGTATTAAGGCACTGTGTATGCGGAAAATTCTGCCGCAGTTATGGCGGTCAGTGAAATTAACTCACTGTATAACGAAACAGACCCTGCCCTATTTTTTGCCCTAATCGAGTCGGGTTGTGAATTGGGGGGAATTACCTCACAAAAAAAAAAATTCCATTTGGAAGTTTCAAAGCTAACTCACGAGGCGGCCCAGAAAATTAGAGAAATAATAATAAGTAAAAATCCGTATGACACTTTAAGGAAGAAACTATTTCCGAGGATATCTATGCTCCCAAGGGAAGAAACTGTCCCAACTTCTCAATGAGGGAATCATAGGAGACGGCAAACAATCGCAATTCTTACGCCGTCTGCAGCACTTAACCGGAGAATGCACAGATGACAGCTTAGTGCGACATATTTTCTTCCAGGCCTGCCTCCTATTTTTCATACGGTCTTAGCTTCGGTAGATAATGGGTACACCCAGAGAGAAATTGGCAGTGGTCGCCGATATCATAGCGGATGTAACTTCCACCCACATGATGTCAAGAGCCGGCATCTTGAATTCGGAGTCAGACCACTTAGTTAAAATTTTAGAAGCACAAAAGAAGTTAGAAACAAAAATAGATGAATTAACCAAAAGAATGGATGAATTAACGCAAACACGTGCTCCTAGTAGAAATCGCTTCTCCCGTCGTTCAGTGAAAAGGCGGAAGATCCCCCTGTGTATGGGAATAAAGCTTATCAGTATAGGCCACCCTGTTCTTTCAAGTCGAACCAGGGAAAAGACTAAGCTGGCAATCGAAGGCGACCCGGTGTACACGCGTTTCGGAAGCCTGTCGCCTACTATTACTGTCTAACCGCACTACTGGTATCCTTTTTTGGTGGACAATGGCGCACAAATTTCTCAGGACAGATTAAAGGGGCCTCAGAAACGTACCCTTCAGGCCATCAACGAGTCGCTTATCTAGACTTACAGCAATAAGTGCCTCACATTGAAAGAAATTTCACACATATTTTTTTACTATAGCAGATGTAGAGAATTCTATATTTTCTGATTTATTTTTTTGATAAATATGGTCCCCTTATTCATATCAACAGACGTTGTTTGATGGACCCTGAGACTAATATTATATCACCAGGATCTATTCACAATACTACCTTGCTATGTCTCGTCGTGGCAAACACCGAGGACAACCCTGAATTTTGCGAACTTTCAAAATAATCCGAGGGTATCACAAATCCGTCCTTCTATAGGGAAACATTACCTCACACAGTTACACATCATATTGCCACAAGAGATCCCCCCACACCGTTCACAGCCGCACCCGGCAACTGTTGACACCGGAATAACTGAAGGCAGCAAATGCGGAATTTAGTCAAATGTTAGAATGCGTGCGTGTATTTTAGTTGTGTGAGCCTGTCTTTCGATGCACATGCGCATTTGTGTGTATTCTATTTGTGTGAGCCTATGTTTCGTCGCGGGCACGCGCGTGTGTGTGTTTGTATGTGTATTCTATTTGTGTGAGCCTATGTGTGGATGTGTAAAGAAGAAAACTGCTTGCAATATACAACGCATAGCCTCGTTTGTCGCACGATCAGCAGCCAGTGAGAATCGACCTTTCAATAGTAGCGGTCACTCATGAACCATTATGATACCCTGAAGCGATTAAAGTAGACCTGATGCTATTTCCAAAATTGAACAGGAATTGATAAATATATTTCCATTTTAAATTCACTTCGCCAGGATCGCTGACATCCTGAAGAGACACGGCTCATAGAAGTTCCATCTTTTGGTTCCCTCTTTATCGCGTTCTCTGACAGTTCTTCTGTCTCTCTCACTCACTTTGTATGTTTCTCTCTCTCTCTCTCTAAATATCACTCATCTTCTATCTGTCATGTTGTATGTCTATCTCTCTTTTTCTGTAACTCTGTATATCTATCTCTCTTTCACACACATACAGTCAGTTTATCTACTTCTCTTTTCTCTGTTTATTTTTACATTTTTGTAAATGCCCCTTTCTGTTTTCTCTGTCTACCGCTCTTTGTCTCTCAGTCAATCTGTCTCTGTCTTTTCCTGTCTATATTTCTAACTCAATTTTTTTTTCTCCCACAAATGTTCTTCACAACAACAATTACAATTTTTCTGAATTTCAAACGCGACGAAAACCGAAAATTTCGAATAAATCCTATCATTCAACAGATACTTTTTGTTTATAAAGTGCCATGAAACTTCAAAAAATGGCGCTGAAAGTCATTTCAAAAACTTGAGAAAAGTCGCTTTTGTCCGTTCTGTACCAAAAGCACCCACGCTACTTATCTGATCTTTTGAAATTACCTGACGGTAGCGGACGTCACAAAATATTATCAGTTATTAAAACACATGGGATGCTTTTATCATCTTTGAACAAGGCTTTTTCTTTATTCGTCTCCTCCTCCTCCCCCTCCTACCTCTCGCCGCCGCTGCCAGTCTTATAATGTGCAAATTTCATTACATTCGAATTATTGCAAAGACTCCATCTTTGTGCGTAAAAGTCAGGAATTAAAAAAGATAAGCTGAAAACAACCGTGAGAAGTTCTTGAGTCTGCAGCAAATAAAGAAACGACATTGTTCCATTACGCCGTATTGATAAAAAGAAACATTTATATTTATACCTGCACGCATGTACACACACACACACACACACACACACACAGATATATATATATAATTGAAGCAGTCATATTTATGTCTATTATTAATTGCATAAAATACAGACCCTCTACATGTATGCGTATATGCGCGTACCCGCGAGTGTGGGAGTTCAATACAGGTCTTATATATATATATATATATATATATATATATATATATATATATATATATATATAGAAAGGTTAAAATGCCAGCCAACCTCGCAACCCGGGTTTCGACCGTAAGGTCTCCGCCGGCAAGTAGAAGGATGTACAAGCCAATGAAAACAACTCAACAACACTACATATACGATTTTGAATTATGTATTTATTACTTTTTGTTGTCTATACCTTTTAGGCGTGGGTATTTTCTATCTTCCTTTCACATTTCTATCCGTATATATATATATATATATATATATATATATATATATATATATATATATATATATATATATATATAATCAATTAGATCCTAGTAAGATCATATATTAGAACTGATCCACAGAGAATGTTCAATGTATTTATTATAACAGTGCATATAGGACTGAGGAGGACCGGCATAAGGCAGTACTCGTCAGAATAGACTATACCCGCATGAGGTGTATATATATATATATATATATATATATATATATATATATAAATAAATATATATATATATATATATATATATAAATATATATATATATATATATATATATATATATATATATATATATATATATATATAAGCAATTTTTATATATATTATTTATATGCTATATATGCGATCTATTATGACTTATTGGAAAAAAACTCAATATCTTTGATAGAGCTAAAATATTTATTTGGATTGACATCAATCTAACCATATATATATATATATATATATATATATATATATATATATATATATATTATTCATTGACACCCCAGACGCCACCAATACGAACCAATTTGGGAGAGTGTGATTCCTTCGTCCTTGTTAGCACATCCACCTAGAAGGAAAACTCTGATGCAACACATTAGCAACCGGTTATATTGATGTCCTCTTCTTTTCGGATCATTGCTTGTGTTGCTCAGTGAGTAGGATTGCACGATGTCATTGGGTACTCTCACTGGGTGGCGCGAATGGCTGGCTATAGCCTTAAAAGGCATGACTATTATAATGATTCAAAATATAATATTACAGATATAATGCTGTGATTAGTCATAGCTGCCGAGTCTATGGAAAACAATATTATTGGCCAAGCAGCGGTGAATCTTTGTCAGATGTTGTGTGATGGCCATAATTCAGTTGGTGAATGCTGCCATATTCCTTGCCCTCAGTTCTTCTTTAGTGTTACAAGGAGTTTTATTGTTCTCTCGCTCAATTGCACCCTACACATAATAATCATGGGTTTGCAGTCTGGGGAGTTAGGAGGCCAGATGTAAGAGGTGATGATGGTCTGACAGCCATGACTGGGTTCTCCTGCTTGTGAGGCATGGTGCAGAGTCCTGTTGCCAGACATAGGGTCTTCCATCAGTCACCCTCTTAACCCAGGGCAGCACTACCTCCTCGAGCCACTTGATGTAAGCCTCCGTGTTGAGTCTGGGGCCCTCACCAACAAAGTAAGAAGTTCTTTTCTTATCAAAACGATCAGAGTAAATATTCCGAGCTGCCGTGTCTTCGTAATCACCATTAGCCTCATTCAACTCTTTCCGAATCCCCTGCACTTTTCCCAGATTAACATCCAAACACTCTGAAATGTTTGTATCGTAGCTTCCGACGGGAATGCCAAGCAGTACAGCATACCGTTTTCAAATTTCTGGCGGAGTGAATTGTGTCATGGTGCTCTCTCTCTCTCTCTCGCTCTCTCTCTCTCTCTCTCTCTCTCTCTCTCTCTTGAGCGCTGAACTCCTTTCTGGACTGTAAAAGAGTTCAAGGCTCACTAACAAATAACAAAAACGAATAATGAGACATTCAAAGAACATAAGGAAAAGTTATTCCTTTTAAAAATTTATTCGTTTTATTTGCCTGAAGTAGCTCACGAGATCGGAAACTCGTGTAGAATAAATTTGAAGAATAAAATATATATATACCATAACAAATCCACACTATAAGCAAAAACGTTTACGGTTTCTCTCTTTTTTAATATATATGTGTGTGTGTGTGTGTGTACGCGTGTGTCTGCGTGCGTGCGCGCACCTTTCTTTGTGTTTCAGTGTTTCATTTAAGACGACATTTTA